CTACGCTTTGAGTCAATGAGGCGATGAGGTGCGTGTTGTCAACCGACCTTGACCAATGGCGGATCCAGAGTGGTAGGGGGTGGGGGTTGGATGGGGCTTTCCGCCCTGATGAAATCCTGGGTCGGACCCATGGGCAAGGAGGCACAAAATCGTCCTTGCGGGGCGACGTCATTTGGATTACCAAGGGGTACTAAATCAAAGTGGGCCATTTACAAAGCCCAAAGCCATAATTTAAAAGGGCGCCAAAATTCAGCGACATTCCAATCGGTGTGCTTTTCACTTTGGAAAAATTTGAATCGGACCGTTCAGGGAAGGGACACCCTGTTCAAGAAAACAGGCACCAACAGCCTCCGTTGTCATCGGGGCTTTACGACGCGTCGTCACAATGCCCGTGCTTCTCCATTACCGAAACTTTGCATCGGCCCATTCGGCCAAGCGAGACCTTTCTTTCGGACCTTTCTTTCAGACCTTTCTTTTCCCAAGCCATATCCAACAAAAATCCTCGTATTCCAGCCATTAAGTTTTAATATTCTTATGTATGCAGTTTGTATACGGGAACCTAGCTTACTGCACACAGCCCTAGAAAACTAAGCGTGCTTTGTATGCAAATACGTTAAGCTTGTTCATCTTCGTCGGATCATGGTGGATTTTGTCGTTTTAAGGCTAACTATTCCGAAGAAAACATGGCAGCGTACACATGAATTGCTTGCTAAATGTCATCAAAATCAAGCACTTGATTCCTAGCTTATACACGGTTAGCCGGGTAGCTGATGAAATCAGCTGATGGTTGAGGACTAATACAGAATTTTACTTTGTCTGTTGCAAGGGAATACAGAATATCCTATCATTAAAAAGATATTAAAACGTAACGTAGAGGTATAAAAATCGTCACAACTTCAATAAACAATTGAAATACGACGTCGGCGGCGTGTAAAATTATGCCCGACAGTGACAATAGCGAATTGAGCGGCGTAATCGCCGTAGCCGCAAAATCAGTCATCAGTAGGTAAGAAGTACAGCCCCAATACAAATGATTAAGATTTGGGTACCCGTCAATGGCGTAGGCACTCCTATACTATGGAAAACCCCGAGACCAAAAAGGACGGCACCTGAACAATCAAAACTGCCGTGGCAGGCCAACAAAGAAGCTTCAATGAACAGTGAATGGTCCTCATAAGAAGCGAGAAGAACCTTACACCAATATGGTGTGACCCTTGAACGATCGGGGGCACCCTGGCAGGCAAACATATAGGGTCCGGCCGGAGTACAGGATCCGCTGAACAAAGGGCACTAGCCGAAGATAAGTGTTCATGAATTATCACCCTTGTGTGATCAAGAGTGCCCGGACAGTTTAACAGAGAGATCTCTGACGAGTGAAGGGTCCTCAGCAAATAACCTCAAAAAGGGAAAGAATCAGAGGTCAATGAAGAGGGACCCTGAGCATCGAGTGTCCCGGAGCGTTACCTTATATGGGGCCCCAGCAAAAGCACGGGGTCCTCTAAGCAAGTGGAAATAACCCGATACCAATATGAAGGGCCCCTGAGCAACCGAGCGTATCCTAGTATTTGGGGCCCAGGCAGCAGCGGCGGGGCAGGAGAGCCCTCTTACCCCGCGGGTGCAGCGGTGCCTGCCGGGTCCGCGCCGTCCTCCATGTTTCCGGCCGCGCCGCCGCAAGGCGCATCTGCGCCCAGTCCACCGGTAAGCCTCGGGGCGCGGCCGTACCCAGGCCGGACACAGCCACCAGGCGTCTCGGTAATTTATAGTAACCATGATTGACTGTACGCATCACGTCATCATCAGCGAAATGCCACGTTGACTGTGTCATTTGTTGACAAGAGGAAAATAACGACAGGATTGAAAATGCTTCTATAGTGTTATCTAACGGCAGAAATCCTAACTAACCTGGTTGCCATGGATACTGGACATTTTTGACACTGGACTCTACGATCTAGGCTCTGCAACTCTAGACTTTGCGTCCCTGGACCTCATGAGCGCCCCCAATGGACACGGAATTGGACGTTTTCTGGACGTTATGAACACTGGATGCTGCGATCCTGGACGATATGAACACTGGACGGTGGGATGAATGGAACTGAACTTTTTGATGGTCCCCAATTTATTTTTGACCCCCACCCGAGCGCGTGTTAAAGGGAATGTTCCACATTAGCATGTGGTTTTGAAATGAAGCAGCCATCTTGAGGACCTTTTGGTGCTGTTCACAATCCCGCCCTTCTTGAAATTTAAATCCCTCTTTTTTAGCTAAACGGCCGCGGAAATAAGGAAAGGTTGATCGGGGAAAGTATTTCAAAGTCACCCCGGTACTCATGACGTCAAAATAACTTCATTTGAATCCTACCACTCCATAAGTCATGCAGCGATCGAGGTCAAAGAAATATCATTGTCGAGACGCTCGTATCTGGCGTTCGTGAGTGCCATTTTCAGGTATAACGACCGTCAATGGGAATGTTTTGCAAGTTACGATGAGGTAACCAAACCATGACACATTGAGGAGCATATTAACTAAGCAGAAAATTGTTCTGTCTAGAGCAGTTTTTCGACTTAAGAGTATACCAATAGTTATGAGTGAGCTTGTTTCATCATATCTGATGCTGACTTTAATGCCTCCAAATCTGAAACATTTCGTTCAACGTGTTTATTGTCGTCATCAACATGCCTCTTGACGTACCTCTGTCATTTTGTCTGTTATGTAGGTTTTAGATGGAAAATAAGACTCAGCATTCTTCCACGCTCTGGTTGCTGTGTTCCAGGAGTTGATTTTTGGCATGTTATAAAGAATGGCGCTTTTGTGATTCAGTTCACCTCAGTTAAACAAGTGTTGCCATCCGAAGGGCCAGAGTGTGGCGTTTAGTGGTAAAGGGGCACGTGACCCTGACTTTGTCACAGAACAATTAAAATACACGTCTGACATTCATATGAGCCCTAAATTATGTTTATACATGAATTGGCTGCCGAGCTAGATGTTCCGGCCGCCTCTGAACTCGAATTAGCACAGCGTGCAACGTTCTCGGCACTTTGCATTCGTGCCAACCGCACATTACACGCTATGGAGTTTTCCATGTGACATCGGACATCTGCAGTCGCTGGTAACATACAAACAACTAGAAGGCAGTTTTCGATTTAGGTTGGTTTCAGCAAAGTGCATGTGCATGAACCAGGTCAACAAATACATGGTAACTTGTCTAGCTGCGCGTCGGACAAACCAAGGATACATGACTCGATTTCCCGCTCTGCCTGCTCTTCCCGCCAAGGTGAGAGGGACGCCATAGTCTGAGTCTGGCTGCGCGTCGGACAAACCAGGGATACGTGACTCGATTTCCCGCTGTGCCTGCTCCCTGTCTGTTTCCCGCTGTGCCAAGGTGAGAGGTACGTCATAGTCTAAGTCTAGGCAGTCATTTGAGCCATAGAGTCAAATGAGTCATAGTCTATAGCCTGAGCAGCTGAGTGCGTTGTAAAGCCCCAATGACACCCGACCAGCAAACGCGAGCTTTCAGTATCATGTGATAGCAAGATTTGCTTACAAGCCGTGCGTGCGAGCGTACCTATAAGCGCCAACATTGTGAGCTGAGGGTGCGGAAACTGTGACACGAACAGCTGGGCAAGCGAAGCAGCGGTATGCGTCGGCCTGAGAGTCAAGAGGTGCGTGGGAAGCATGTGGTGAGCAAGGTAGCATACAAGTTAACGTGGGGCTCTCAAATTGAGGTAGATGGGTGCACGTCGTGAGGCACAGCATCCGCGCATTTCTTTGGATTTGGGAATCAGGCACGAGCTCTACGCAACTAGGACACTTGAACCATTAACCAAATAATTACAAAGATGAATCAGTGCGGTGAAAAAACTGAGGATTTGAGAAGAATGCGATGGAATAGTTATTATCATGAATAAATGCTGTGGGGATAATTCAGTATGCGAAACCATGGGCAAGGAACGAGTGTGACGTAAATAACTAGGCATGTGAAGAAATGCGTAGCGAACAAATGTGACGCGAAGAACTGCGTATGCAAAGAAATGCGATGTGAAGAATTGCTTAAGCTAATGCTTTTGTGCGCAAAGTAATGTAAAGCATGTGTGATGTGATGTGCGTGATGAGAGAACCGTGAGTGTTTAATAAGACATGTAGCGCGAAAAACATGCACAAGGTTGGACGAGTAAAGTATTGCGTCCATGCAGTTTTGTGCGGGGGTTATACTGGGACATGCGATACAAAGTTGATCTTGCAGCTTTCTTGATGGCGTGCCTCTCAAAAAGCACTCTTATACTCACCTAAGCATCATGCAGGCGGGGGGGAGGGCGCTGAAATGTTGACAGGCTGTGTGAAAATCATCGCGTCGGAAAAGACGTCAAGTTTGAAGACGAAAGCTGCAGTCGTTCGGAATGCGGCTGCCAAAACCGCAGGGCGACGTGGGGTCAATCTGACGTTGCGCATGAGAACAGGTTCAGATGCGAATGAACGCCGTCGACGGGGACAGCAGTGTTTGCGATTGCTCCGTCTTCATTAGTGACTCATTGGCCGCAAAACGCTTGCAAGATTGCATCTGCGCACTGCTGCGCCCCCTCTCGGCCACGCGCCACAACTGTGCCCCCCGCCCCCCGCTCGGCCATGCGCCATTGCTGTGCCCCCCCCCCCCTTTCAGCTATGCGCCACTGCTGCGTCGTCCGCTCGGCCAGGCGTCACTGCTGTGTCCCCCGTTCGGCCATGCGCCACTGCTGTGCCCCCCGCTCGGCTATGGGCCACTGCTGTGCCCCCCGCTCGGCCATGCGCCATTGCTGTGCCCCCCGCTCGGCTATGCGCCACTGCTGGGCCGTCTGCTCGGCCATGCGCCAATGCTGTGCCCCCCGCTTGGTCAATTCCCTCTGCTGTGCCGTCTGCTCGGCCAATGCGCCACTGCTGTGCCCCCCGCTCAGCCAATCGCCACTGCTGTGCCGTCCGCCCGGCCAGGCGTCACTACTGTGCCTGACCTGTGGCTGGTGTCCTATTTCAGAACGCTGACTGGCACCGGCATCCGTCAGATCGAACGGGACGACTTCCTGCCGTACGCCCTCCATCTCCGTGACATGTGAGCAGCCAGGCCGGCCGACATCAGTATTCCAGCTCGGGTGTCAGTAGATTGAAGTGGCGCACGATCCATGTGTTGGGTGATTTGACGTCTAGAACTTGGACCATCCGTTGAAAGTGGGAGGTCAACGTCTGGAATTTTCAGCAGGAGACGAGAACGACCCGTTCCAGAAATACCACGAGGTAGCGCAAACGCTCTAACTTCTGGACGTCATCCGCATCTTGCAAAGAGAGCCATTTGAGCATGCTTATTTTTAGAACGCTTTTTAAATGCAGATCATGTTTTATGGAAGCCTCAAGTTGAGGCACACGGCATTGTCTGCAAGTCTTGGGCCGGTGCCTTGTGATATATTTTCCCGGTTATCAGTAAACAAACGTAATTCGACTGAAAAAGGTCCGCTGCCCTAAACGTCTTTTAAGCGTGTGAATGATTCATGCTGACTCAAAAGTTACCAACTGCGCTGACGTCTAAAAAAGTCAAGAAAGGTATAAATACATCAGATAAGGACTGTAGCAGATATGACGTGCCTTCATCGATGCATATACCTGCGACACAGCAGCGAGCGTTTGCAGACCCAGGTAGAACTTGGCTCGCATGATGGTGCACCACGAGACCTCAGAGCACCTTCCCCGCCCACGCGCGTCCTTCATCTTGCCAGTTGTGTCTGAGTGTGGGCTGGTTCATTCGTCCTGAAACATAACCATGCCGCCTGGTTTCAGTGTTCTCTCCAAGAATGCCCACCTGCAGCGGATACGCGCGCACGCTCTGCGCCGGCTGCCGCACCTTCTCAATATGTGAGTGGTGAAATAGGATCTCGGCGTGGGAGAGTGGGGGGGGAGGGGGGAATGGGGGGGGAAGGGGAACGAGCGGTTCGGCATCGAGCGCAAATTCGATGACGCGAGTGACGCTGTTGTACTCTTGCTGGCACAGATGAGCTTTGTGCGTATTGTTAAGTGAACTTTGTCTTCAATTTTGTCACAAACTGTTGTTCTCGGGCCCTCGGGATCTATTTTGCGGCAGACGAAAGACCAGTAAGCACTGATCTGGTAAGTAAGTGAATGATAAACCCGGACTGAAATGTCTTCTTTCATCGGTTCAGTAACTTACATTGTTCTAAAATTATAGCACACGGTCGTGCTCACGTGCATTCCATTGCTATGCTCGCTGATAGTTGACTTCCCACGATTGTTGCCGTCGGCACGTGACGAACTGCTGGGGCGCAATCTCAGAAAATCGCATCAATGTTTCACGACTGGTGTTTCACGGTCTCGGCTTTCTGGCGCACTGCCAGTTTGCTCCTCCGTCTTCGTGTGGTTGCCTGGGCCGGAAGTCGCAGACCGGCGAGTGGACAGGGAGGAGAGACGGTGGGGTGGCAGCCGTGGCTCAACACCGATCCCAGGGGCCAGGCTGCAGCTGCTGTTCAGTGATTTATGGCCACGCTGCTCGCAACGCTGCTGTTCTAGCAATGCTTTTTTCGGGCCTTGCTCATTTATTTTAACGCAGCGTTTTACTATGGCCCATTGCTATGCTGGAAGTCTTTTTTAAATCAAACAACTTGGTTGTTGAGTTGTCCTGATACTGTTCGTGTTTTGGTTTCGATTAGGTACCGCGACATTATTCGAGCAAAGTACTGTTCGAATTATCTGCTGGCTCTGGGCTGACTGAGACCAGAGCACACAGCCGCTAAATTACAATGGCATACGCCAGCTCTGTTTTGGACCATTACCATTGTTCCCCTGATTCGCGCATGATGGCTGTTGTCTTTCCTTTATATGCACCACCGTTCCCTACAAGACATGACTCGTGGTGGAGAAACACAACACACTTACCCGGACGATGGTAACATTGCCCGAAGCAAGCTTCCTGTACTCACCAATATCCATTGTCCAGTTCTTTGCAAGAGCCGTGTTCCCGGGCTGACGTTGGGTCCGAGTGCTGGTTAACCGCAGCTCAATGCACAGTAAATACTGACCATACCGTCCAGATAATCCCAAGTGTTGGAAGTATTGGTCCTAAGCCAGAAACAAGCGACGAATATGTCGCATGTCCATACGTCCATTTACGACGGCAGGTGGGACTACAGCGCGAGCTACTGCGCTAAGATTTCCCGTCTTGTCTGGGAAGCACGACGCTTGAGACGTGACCCGAATTCGTGTGACGACGCACCTTCAGCCAGCGGCTCTGCCACTCGCTTGGAACGCAGGCGGGCGTGCCAGCTACGATAGATCACCGGGGTGGCCTGTGCTGAGCCTGCCACTGCGGTCGGGAGCGGCCTGCAACTTCGCCAGGAAATAGTTCTCTGGATTCGACTCCGTCTGTTTCCGAAGCGTGTTTCCGAGAAGCTTTGGAAGGATGGGATGGATCAGTCCAGCCAAATTCAGAGGGAACTATGAGTTTGGAAACTCGGAGAAGCTCTGAGCTTCGCAATTGTGAGGCGCTGCGCGATATGACCCGCCGTGCTGAGAGGATCTGTGTGGATTAATCGCAGCTTTCGCACCTTTGAGCTTAGTGCATTTGTTGCGAGGCACCAATGCTATCGTCGGATATGGTAACTGAAGTGCGAGAACAAATTATCACGGTGTCAAGATCATTACAGATCATATGATGCCTTTAGACGACATGCCTGACAAAATGAGAGTGGTGAAGATGAGTGGTGAAACATGTTCACGTAAGCCGGCCCGACCTTGAAGACGAAGAAGAGCGAACTTATCGCTGCGCTAGAGGTAGTGTGCGTGTGTTGCCCCCCTGCCCCGTGTGCCGGCGCGCTTGTGAGCGTTTGTGCCAATCGAGCAAACCTAGTGCAACCGTGGAGCGAACTGGTGACTACTTTTGCGGGGAAGCCCAAGTGACTATCTGAGACAAAAGGCACGAAGCATTACTCATGCTTTGCACACTCGGGCTCCAGTCTCGGCAGCATTAAAGGCACCTGTGTCCGGCCAAACCCCGGTAGACTACATGAATGCAGCGCCCTTGGAGACTACAGGAATGTGGCAGGGAAGCCTCTAACCATGGCGGGCCCCCGCAATCACGGAGGAGAGCGGACAGCGTAACGAGATCCCGCCCGGGTAGCGTTCGCACCGGCTCTGATGCTGCGCCTGTCCCTCTACTCTCTCCATGGTTCGCGTGGCTCTGAATCTGCATACTGATTTGTGCCGCGCGTGCGTCATTTAGATATGACACATGGAAGCATGGATTGCGCCCGTCGGCCTGGGCGGGTCAGTCGCGGTCAACAGAGCGTGCCGCGTGGCGGAGCGCCAGCTCTTCAGTGCGCAGCAGTGCGTCGCATCTGCAGCGGTCGCTGGCCGAGGCTGGGCCCAGCCCAGTCGGCCGTGTGCTCAGGCCCATCGTCCGTTCTCGAAAAGGTCGCGGCTATCACACCGAGTGCGATGCCCGACGCAATCAACGACCGCTCCGTGAGAGTGGGTACGAGCAAACCGACTGCCGTGACGCGCCACGCCGTCATCAGCCGCTGAGGCTGCCGCGCCGGCCCACGTGAGAGCTCCTGCAGCCTGTAGCACCTGACCTGGGGGCTCCCGCGGCCTGCAGCACTGGGTGTGAGAGCTACCGCGGTCTGTAGCACTGGACGTGGGGGCTCCCGTGGCCTGCAGCACTGGGTGTGAGAGCTCCTGCGACCTGCAGCACCTGACGTGGGGGCTCCCACGGCGTGCAGCACTGGGTGTGAGAGCTCCCGCGGTCTGAAGCACTGGACGTGGGGGCTCCCGCGGCCTGCAGCACTGGGTGTGAGAGCTCCTGCGACCTGCAGCACCTGACGTAGGGGCCCCCCGCGGCGTGCAGCACTGGGTGTGAGAGCTCCCGCGGTCTGTAGCACTGGACGTGGGGCTCCCGCGGCCTGCAGCACTGGGTGTGAGAGCTCCTGCGACCTGCAGCACCTGACGTGGGGCTCCCGCGGCCTGCAGCACTGGGTGTGAGAGTTCCTGCGACCTGCAGCACCTGACGTGGGGCTCCTGCGGCCTGCAGCACTGGGTGTGAGAGCTCCTGCGACCTGCAGAACCTGACGTGGGGGCTCTCGCGGCTGCAGCACTGGGTGTGAGAGTTCCTGCGACTTGCGGCACCTGACGTGGAGGCTCCCGCGGCCTGCAGCACTGGGTGTGAGAGTTCCTGCGACCTGCAGCACCTGACGTGGGGGCTCCCGCGGCGTGCAGCACTGGGTGTGAGAGCTCCTGCGACCTGCAGCACCTGACGTGGGGGCTCCCGCGGCCTGCAGCACTGGGTGTGAGAGCTCCTGCGACCTGCAGAACCTGACGTGGGGGCTCCCGCGGCCTGCAGCACTGGGTGTGAGAGCTACCGCGGTCTGTAGCACTGGACGTGGGGGCTCCCGCGGCCTGCAGCACTGGGTGTGAGAGTTCCTGCGACCTGCAGCACCTGACGTGGGGCTCCCGCGGCCTGCAGCACTGCAAGTGGGGGCTTGTGCGGCCTGTAGCACCAGACGTGAGAGCTCCCGCGGCCTGTAACACTAGATGTGGGGCTTCTGCGCACTGGAATTGAAAGCTCTTGCGGCCTGTAGCACCTGGCGTGGGGGCTCCTGCGGTCTGTAGCACTGGACGTGGGAGCTCCTGCGACCTGTAGCACCTGACGTTGGGACTCATGCGGCCTGTAGCACTGGACGTGGGGGCTCCTGCGACCTGAAGCACCTGACGTGGGGGCTCATGCGACCTGTAGCACTGGACGTGCGGGCTCCTGCGACCTGTAGCACTGTCAGGGTGCTGTATGACCAACGGCAGCGCGAGGAAATTAGGTAGGCAAGGAAAAGTAGCCGGCTTAGACAGCCTTGACCAAGCCCACACTCTGTTGTTTATTCATCAGGGAGACTGCAGTTAATTAGAACTGACGAGATCGATGAGCGGGTAGGAGTCCCGTCATAAAGAACGTTCATTCAATTTCGGAAGCTGGCGTCAGAAGCAAAGCCGACAGTTGTCCGTTTCACATCTAGTCAGCCCATGCTGGCATACGACTTTCTTTCATCGCATGCCCGAAGGAAAGCCACCCTGTCGTTAGCTTTACGATCTCCCAAGATATATAAAATTGATGCTCTATTCCTGCTGATGAATGGTGGTTTGATTAAACATGTTTGTCCTTCATTTACGGGTTTTTATCACTTTTGGTAGTCTGTTAGTTGTGTTTTTGGTAATGACTTTCAGTGTGCGTATAGCAGACTAAATGTTGTTGTATTCCGTACCCTCAATGCAAGGCAGCGCCCAGTATTGGCAAGGAGGGGCGGGGGTGACAAGGAGGACAAATGGCGCTTTGCCAGTCAAGACCCCCCGCAAAAATTACAACGATTTTTCTCATTTGATCTAGAGAGGGCACGATTTTCTTCGGTTTCTGGTATTGGTGCTGCAAACTGGCCGTAAAACTGGAAAAGTAAAGGAATCTTCTCTATTTGTTGCGCTGCTGTATATAAATCTGTTCAAGGTGCAGCCTAAAATTATACAGCTTAAATGTACGTCTCAATGTAAACGTTGAACAACACAAATGCATTTCGAAACACCCCGGGGGCATTATTTCACGACGGCCGCTTTCTGGTGCCCGCCGCCCGCCACCCGGTGTTAGCTGCAGTGGCCAACGCCGCTCTGCTCTGGTGCCCGCTGCCCGCTGCCCGGTGTTAGCTGCAGCGGCCAACGCCGTTCTACTCTGGTGCCCGCTGCCCGCCGCCCGGTGTTAGCTGCAGCGGCCAACGCCGCTCTGCTCTGGTGCCCGCTGCCCCCTGCCCGGTGTTAGCTGCAGCGGCCAACGCCGTTCTGCTCCGGTACCCGCTGCCCGCCGCCCGGTGTTA